TCCTCCTCCTCTCTCTCTCTCTCCTCCTCCTCCCTCCCTCCCTCCTCCTCCTCTCTCTCTCTCTCTCTCTCTCTCCCTCCCCTCCCCCCCCCCCTCCCCCTCCTCTCTCTCTCATCTCCCAGCAGATGGTCAGGCACGAGGCAGCTGAGGCGATCGGGGCGATCGCTGAGGAAGCAGCCAATCCCTTGCTGGAGGAGTTTGCGAAAGACAAGAACCAGGTGACAAGAACGACCGAGAGTGTCTCGTCGTGACCGCTCACATGGCCCGAAGGTCGTTGCGGAGTCTTGCATCATCGCCCTCGACATCTCCGACTACTGGAACGACGACTCCCAGGTTCTGACCTCTCTCCTCCGGCTCTCAACAGCTGAAAGCCTCCCGTCCTCCGTTGCAGTTCCAGTACGCAGTCGTCGAAGTGGAATGACGAAAGAAATGCCACGTCATCGATCTTCTCCTCATATGTACATAGATCATTGCCAACCCTTTCAGTTCGGATCGTCAACCAATCACCCCCTGATCTTTGTTGTGTCCCTTTGAGATGACTTCTCATTCTCATCAATAATTTTGTTCCTTTCGCTGCGAAGTACGATTGTAACAAAATGTATGGCTGAACAACAAGAGCTGTGCGAGTCTCACTTTCACACATCTGGCAATCTGATCCACAAAGAGCCTCAAAATATTTTCAAATTGCGAAGGAGAAGTTCCAGAAAACTTCAAACCCTTCTCAGAGGTTTTCAAGCGCCTGCAACATTCTGACCACAATCATGCAATCCATGAGTCCTCCTGCCCATCACTCCTTCCGTGCGCATCCCCGGCATCGCTCCTCACTTCATCACACAGAGGATGAACGGCACGGCAGGAACAAGACCCGCTACACACTCGCACATGTTGATAGTGTCACTCTTGACTGGTGATGTTGATCCCGGAGGACAAGTGACGCACTCGTCCAAACCGCTTTTGTCTGCGTATGTTCCTGGAGGGCAAGGGACACATCTGTCGTTCCACCTGCCCTCCTTGAAGAAACCTGGCAAGCAGGGAGCGCAAGTTTTCGTTGCCTCGTCGTAACCTCTCCCTGGAAGGCATGAGCAGTTTCTGGGGGAGATACTCCCTGCCATAGATCCTTGGTTCAAGGGACAAGCAGTGCAATTTATGCTGCTGTTTGCGCTTGCATATGAGTTGATCTCGCACTCAGAGCAGCGCTCTGCTGTCTCATTCTTGTAATATCCTGGCTCACAGGGTATGCAGCTCGTGTTGGTCGGATCGATCTGGTATCCAAGCTTGCAGACACATTCGAAGGCGGAGAAGTTGGCGGAGAGAGGAGCAGAGTCGTCAGGGCAGAAGTCGCACGCAGAGGAGCCGCTCCATGCGAAAGTCCTCGGAGGACATTTGACACACGCACTGCTGTCGTTGAGAGGTTTGTACCAACCTGGACAACGTCAAGTCAAGGGCGAACAACTGAGGCGGCAACAATGAGGGTGTGGATGACAGGAGCTGTGAATGGATCTATGAGCGAATCTCTTTCACCTGCTTTGCAAGGAGTGCAGAAGGATGTGTTGTCAAAGATCAAGTAACCTGCTGCAAGGGTTGGGTTGACGCGTGTGATCAAGGACAAAATTCTGACCTATTTTGAATTCACCCTCATACCCGGAGTTGCAGACACAAGTGTCTTTCTTCGGGGATGGTTGAGAGAGAGGAGGGCATAGTGAACAAGATGTCGATGAAAAAATCGAGAATGTGCTTTCTGGGCACAACGAGCATGTTTCATTGCCGCTGAATGGTTTGTAGGTACCAGCTTTGCAGCCATGGCAAGCACTAATGTTCGGATCTGGCAAGTAGAAACCTGATCTACAGCTCCACACACAGACACCAGTTGACGAATTTTGCCACTCAGCAAAGGAAGGCAGCGACAGGACAGAACAGTTTGCTGTCAGCGAGGAATTGTTGGTTGTGGCGATTGACACATTCGTATCAGTGTTGTTGCCCGCTGACTGCACATTGAAGAGCCTTCGACTATTCGGCGATTGTGCTCCCTCGTATAATTCAGAGAAATCTTTGTTCGGGCATGTTGGCAATGGAAAAGCAACCCTATCTTCAAACCCCAACATCAACCAATGCGTCTGCATGTTCGGACAGAACATCTGTTTGAGAAGGCTGTTCTTGCTTTTCCTCTTCTTGTTGCTCCTACCCTGCTTCTTAAAAGTCTTGCCTGATGCGTCAGAACACGATAACAGCAGCACGAGGGCAAGGAGCAGCGGCAGAACATGGCACTTGGCTAGTAGCGCCATGTAGTAGTAGTAGAGCCGGGACGGTTTGACCCGGCGGGCAAACTTTTGACTTGAAGGATCCGATCAAGAAACTATGAAACTTCAGAACTTTGTAACACCTGAAACTTTGAAAGTTTGTTTTAATGTCCCCGATTTCAAAGTTGTCCGCTGTCGGCAATGCCAGTGCTGTAGTCGGAAAAGGAAGTCAAGGTAAAGAGCGATCTACCAAGGGCTAGCATGCAGCTCCTCGAAACATTCTGCTAGGGATCTCCTCAAAATTCCCTTCCTCTCATATCAACGTGCTGCAACTTGTGATTGTTCTCATGTTTCTGTTGGTATGATGCATCGTTGTTGAACCAAGTACAGGGTAAACAACTAGATCTGTTCACGCACTGAAAGACTAGTCTTCTCCCTGTGTGTTTGCATACAAGACTACAAGACTGCAAGGCTGTTTGCAATGCAACGGTGTGTGGTAGCTATCAGGATCAAGAGCGTGTATGGCGAGCTAGCCTATTTCAAGGACGACAACGGACGCTTCTCATCGTGAGGCTTGAGATGTTTTCCCCTGTTTATGTTGTGAGTTTAAATGCACTCAGGGACATCAACAAGGCCTACACGCTCAAAATGAGGGCGAAGACCAAGTATGAACTTGTTGTCGAGGTATTCTGCACTCAAACGATGCGTGTTGGTGTACATTGACGCAGTCACGCACTCTGCTCAGTTCGGTACTTACATGTTACTACAGTCGCCCGACAATGTGCATATCGTGAGCATGAGCATTGAGGGAGGAATGCTGGAGAAAGAAATGCAATCAAAGAAAGCCGTACAATCTGATGGGGAGAAAACAATCGGCTTCCTGTGGTGGGACACATCCAGCTTTGATGAAACAAAAGTATCCAAGAGAGAAAAACTCGAGTTTGTCATCGTCTTGTCGGTGCAAGGGTTGAAAGGGCCGGGGAAGGACAATCATCACCTTGTCAAGACCAAACTGCTCTTCAAGTTCTACAACCCGAATGAAGAAAAGATGATGAAGAAAGGTCTTCCTCTAGGTGCTCTGAAGATTCATTGCGCTCTGAGCAACACGTCTAAGGTCACATCAGTGACTTGCGCTGACTTGCAGCACGTGGAGGAGCTGGTGATTGTTGGAAATCCTGCAGAAGCCGTGCAGTGAGTTGATCTTATTATGAAGAAGTGCGTCAGTTTCTGGATGTCATCGACGGTACATGAAGAACAAAGGATGATGTGCAGGTTACAAAGGATGGTGTGCATGTTTAATTTGGCTGCCATGTGGATACTCTGGTCTATTGCGATCTGTCAAATTCCACATAGTGTGAGGAACTCCTGCTCCGAGTCTAATTGCCATTTTGTACAGTGTAAAGCAGAGAGCATGTAGGTAGTTTCCCTTTGTAAAGTAGTAATAAATGAGGATCCAAAATACAGAAGCCGATCAAACAGGTAGTGTTTCTAATGACAACCTCAAACCGAAACATGAATTTCAAACTTTAAAACAAGGTTACTGAAGGCAAATGGTGAAAGGAAATAGAAAATGAACAAATAGCTAACTATCTCATCGGCAAGAGTCTGTATCTCATGTCAGCATAGGCTGTCGAAGCGTTCGATCGAGTGGCCATAGCTATCTTTGCAGATCCAGCAGCCAAAGTGGCAACAAACCCAAACCCTGTCAAAGTATGTCACTTACAAGGTCAACAGCGCATGAACCAACAACCTAATCCAACTGCAGCGCCAACACCTACAGACATGTAGAACTGCTTCCATATGTAGCTGACTGCTAGCCCCCAATGCTCTTTCACCCTATTGGCGAGAACCACCCCAGGAATGTCGGTCTTGTTCTTATCCAACGAGAACGTTTTGTCCTCGTTGTTGACGATTGCATCCGTTATACTTCCATAGGTCACTAGCGCCATCGGCGCTCCTATCATGATGCCCACCATCAATCCAACAAACAACCCCAGTAAACTCCCGCCTATCAGCTGCCATCGCGTCACCCCCAGCCTCAACTTGCGCCATGCGATTCGCGGCATGGTTATTCCTCCACTTCCACCACCGGGTCCTGTATTGCTCAAAAGAAGGGGTTCATGAGGAAAAAGGACCCACCCCATTGAAGATGGCACTTTCCCTATATCTCTGTGGGGTATGGAGAGCTATTAGGTCTGATAACGGTAATCAAACTATCGTAACGGTCAGGTCAGAGCCTGTCAACTTCTCTCATGGACTCGCTCCTGCAGTTTGCGGCGGCGGTGGAGGGTCAGGCAGAGCTGGAGAGGGATGAGAAGCCGACGGAGGAGCAGAAGCAGATCGCAGAGGAGATCAACACCCTCCAGGTACTCTGTGAGCCTCATCGGATGTGCGGCATCCGGATGCTACACAGTGAAGGTCAACTGACAGTGAGGATACCGTGTAGATTGAGCTGCACAACCTGCGGAAAGAATTCAAGAAGCCTCATGAACATGAGGGCAGCGATGTAAGTCTAACAGCTCAGTAGTAGTGGCTGCCAGATGACAGCATCGTGACGGAGGCTAACTTTCAGACTGATTCCTCTGCGAAAGCCTAATACTGAGTGTTGCTTTCAACATAGGCGTGGAGTTGCTTTCTTTACGAACTGGTAGAAGAGGACTCTGACAACATGACCCTGGAAGCTCTTGCATCCATGGTCAGAACCCACAATCTTTGTAGTTGGGATGTAAGGCAGCCTGTTGGGCAGGTTCAGGCAGAGGACGAAAACAATGCAGAGATGATACAGGTATAGAAATTTATGTGTATGTGCGACTCAGTCTTGTAATCATTCTTTTGCTACAGATATCCAAGAATTTCTTCAAATATGAAGCTGCATTGAGGATTCAAAGAATCTACCGCGGACACGTTGGGCGGCGGATATTCAAGTGATCGAGTCTTTTGAATGGTATCATTGTAACTTGTTTCCAGCGTTTCAAGAGAACTTTGGCGGTCCAAGATTCTCCCATCAGCTGGTATGCCATGAGGAATCAATTGGGATCGTGGGAAACTCATGCAATGTTGCAGCTCTCATGATACAGAAGAATTGGAGAAGGGTACTCGGGAGGCCAGATCTTGGAATACCTCTTGACTTGTCTTTGGGACAGATGAAAGAGAGTCGGACAGTTGAAGTACTCAAACTCAAGCAGAACGTGGAGTTCCTTGAGGCTGCAGCTTCACAGGTTCATCTTGATTATGTTTTTCTCGAATTTCAGCAGAGATGTGCCTGATCTTTGTATTAGATCCAAAGAATGCAACGTGGAATGATTGCAAGAAAGCAGACAAAAGCGATGCTAGACAAAGTGCATCAAGACTCAACAGAATTCTTCCGGACCCAGTAAGACCTCTACCCTTCCTCTGTGTGCTGTTAGCAACTTGTGAAGATCTCTTGCGCTGATTTGCAAATTCCATAGCGGAAAATCAGAGGATCATATCCGCGAGCAGTTGAAAACGTTTTCGTCCGAAAGGTTCCGAAGATGCTTTGAGGTGACTTGCGGAGGCTGATGTGAATCTTTCCACGCTCAGCTACCGGGATGACTCGTTAGACGGGAGGATCGCATGTAGAATCAAGAGGATCATCGAATACGATGACAGCGATGATGATTGATGCTCCATTGCGCTAATCACACTTAATGAGGAAAAACATTGTGTGATGTCTCATGAAGGGAACTTCTGCTCCAGATCATTTAAACTAGAATCGTCTTTGAAAACTTCAATTGTACACGCCAGGCCTCTTTAATTCGGGGAGCGGGACCAGCACAATTGAGCCTGGAGCAGCACCATGGGGAACCTGTGAAATCATGTATTCAGCATCACGAATAACAATGATTGGAAGCTGCGCATACAATGAACTTGACGTCTTGACCAGATTGCTGGTATCCTGCCGGTACTTGGACCTTCAATGTCTGACGAACAAATCACATTATCTCACATCTCATCCTATCGGGTTGCTACTAAATAGACTCACCTGGCCCGGGCTGCAGTTTAGAGGAAGGCAAACTTTAAATTTCCCACCCACTGCTTGTGAGACGTTTGAAGGAAGTGGCACCTTGATCACTTGGTTCGGTCCCGTGCCGGCGGGGATGGTGAAACGAACAAGCTCCCCAGCATTTCTGTATCCTTCAGGCACGCGGACCTGCATGACCTGCCCAGGATGGCAGGACTGAGGAATCCTTGCCTGGAAATATTCTGTGCTGCCAACGTTGGTCGCGGGGAGTGGAACTTGAACGATCTGACCGGGAGATGCCTCGGCAGGTACAGCGAAGTAGACGATCTCGCCAGACCCGCGATAGCCAGCAGGAACTTGAACCCTCAAGGTCTGACCGAATCGCACCCCCGCAGGCAGCTTCACTGGAAACGTGCCGGACTGAGAGAATTCCGCCAGGTTCGCTCCTGGCGTGTTGCTGGGGCCCCCGGAATGTGTTGGAGTGCCACATTCAGGGCAAAATTTGTGGTTGGTTGCCAAAGGAGTCTTACAGTTGGCACAGAGGATGCTCTTGGATGTTGTGTCTTCCCGAGGAGAAGGGTTGTACTCGGGAGCTGAGGGCTGAGGCATTGACAACCGTTCCGATTCCAAGGGAGTATTCCTAGCAACTTGGGTGGTCGCTGGTTCGTAGGCTGTGGGGATACAAATATCGATAGCGTCGAGGGACGAGTCGCCATCATTATGCTTCTCAAGCAGAGGGATCTTATCTACTCCCATCTTGTCGACCTGAAACAAACTAGTCAATTGATAAGCAGTTGAAGACACCGCAGTAAACAAGCTCGTGAAAGATATTCAGTCGGGATGAGAAGTTATGGTTGGTCGAACCTCTCAATCAACATAGTAATTCATCCGTTCTACTTCATTTCACTTTCGCAATCGGACCTGTGAAGCAACCTGCATACACTGCTCTTGGCCTTTCATTCTCAATATCCTCTACTTCCGAAGATCGTAAGCATACTTTGTACTCTATTTTGTCACTCTCTCGACCATCAAATAAGATGCAAACCAGCCACGACTTAATCGACTAACCTTACATGGACCTTTTCGATCATCCTGGCAATCTACATCAAATCTGAAACCAAACTAGTGATTGGACAAGTCTACTGCTCTCAAAGAACATCAATCTTTCTCACAGGAAAAGAGCGTTGCGTTAAAGAAAGTCTATCTGGGCATGACCATGCACTTCTGACTGTACAAGACATTCTTTCTCTTGATAGCATCCTTCGCTAGATCAGCGGCGTTTGTTCGTTTGTTCAACAAACAGCCATAAAATTGTCGCTTACTTGAAACGACGGGGGTAGGAGCTTAGGTTAACAGGGGTGCTGTAGCAGAGGGGTAGGTGAACGGTGTGGGCAGTACAAAGTAGGGGTGGGTGACAATATTTTTTATAAACGGGGTAGGACGGGTAGATGACTCAGATACCAGATGGAAATTTAAGGGTGGGGTACTTACCACTACCCCAACCCCACCTCCTGGTAGGTTCTAATACTTTTACTCAAAGTTAAGTTAAAAATCAGTACGAGGTGCTAGCATTAACTTCAAGAGCGCCGCCTGAGCCGGCCGGTCACCGGGGCCCCGGGGCCCGGCTGGGGCCGCAGCGGCACCGTCACACTGTGCGCCCGGGCCGGCAGCCCGGGTCACCGGTGTCACACTGCAGGCGAGTCACCGTAAAACTTGAAAGGCACTGAATCCCTCCGTCCGACTGAGCCGCCGCCCGGCGCGATGATGTCAGGTTTACTCAAAGTTAAGTTAAAGCCTGATCAGTACGCCGCTCAGCGCGGCTTGAAAGTTTTTAAGCCCCGGTGTATGGCCTGGTAGTTCTCTACTCCAAACTTGGCTTACGTGCTCTTCCTTTGCACCTATTTTCAGGTCCCCTTGTTGACGAAAATGGCTCTTTTCGGATCTAGCAGTGATGCACGGCTGACAGTACGGCAAGACCGGATCCCCCACCCCCATCTTCTACGGGGTTGAGGGCAAAAGACCATGGGGTACAGAGCAAATATTCATCGAGTGCTGCTCTAATTAAAGTAGACAGCCCTCACCACCCGAGCACCTCGTTTCCCTCATCCAGATCCCCTTTTCCGACCGTGGACGAAGGGGACAGACCGTCCGTCACCCTTTAAGATAACAAACTCTTCTTGCCTTCCCAGAGCGCGAACGCCACAAACTGATCGACAACAGCACTGCAAGTCTTCTCCTTGTCCATTTCGAATCCGAAGCATCTCCGGAAATTTCTTCTCCTTCTTTTGTCCACCGATTGCTAGACCCTTCGGATCAGAATGTGTATCGAAGCTTTCAACGTGAACCCCAGTGCTTTTATGCCAAATGCAAGTACGCCATCGCCCCGTGAGGTGTGTCCAACCTCCTTCAAGCACAGCGATGGAATCGCCGAGCGACTTTCGAGCCTCACGTGAGCAGGTGGCTGACAAGGAGGCAGAGAGAGCGATGCAAGGCACCCAAGTTCCAATCGCCACACAAGTGGCACAAATAGAAGCCAAGCACGGTAGATTGTCATCTCTCAAGCGAAAGAGGATCGAAGCTCTCTTGCACTCGATTGCTTACATCCAGAGACTTCAGGCTGACGCAGGAGGAAGCGTTGATGGAACACGTGCGCCATGCCTACAGCGATTTTGAGAAATAGATTGTTGATGTCGAAGAATCGTCGAAACAAAATGTACATTTCTTGACATTTCTTGATTTCGTGATTGCATGCATTCTATACCGTGGGTAAATCATCCTCCATCACAATAGCTGCTCGGTGCCAAAATTGGCAAGTCCTGCTGGGTCACTTTATGCCCCCGAAGTTGACGGGGTGAGGGCCGAGCAAGAAAAACTCTGATCATGACAGTGCAAGCCACACGATGCTTGAACTCGGCGTGCCAAGCGGTCGCCTCGGATCGGACAACGAGTCGTAGGCTTGAATGCCGTACTGACTGCCATCACGGTGACTCGGAGTAGAGTCACTGCGGCCGCGCATCATTGAAGTTTTGCGGCAGTGACGAAGACTGACTGCTGCAGTGTCTGATGACTCAGTGATCCTTCCTGGCGCCGGCGCCGGCGGTCACCAGCGTCACTGCGTGACTCGTGTCACTGCGTCACTGAGTCCCGGGCCGCTGACTGAGTAGTACGGTCTTTGGAGTTGAGGAGTCCGACCGTGTGAGGGTGACGGTGCCGGGCCGGCCCATCGCTGGGACCGACCCGGACGGTCGCCGTCACCAGTGCCACGCCGCTCAGAGTCAGGCCGGCCCGAGTGACCGTGGATCATGGGCGCTAACTTTCGTTGCCAACGGTTGCGGCCGGATCGGACTCCGGGATCTCTCAGCAACACTCAGTCGGGTAATGACAGTGAGGCAGGCTTGGTAGTCAATGACCCTTCGACCGGAAAGTATTATCGACGCCATGGATGGCGAGGGAGGGGAAAGGAAAAGGCAGGGGAGGCAGGGGAGGAGGTAGCGGGAACGACTCTTGACATGCTTCTGATCCTATAGCGTTGAGGATGTTAAGAGGCTCGTGGGGACGAGCCTTCGGAAGGGGTACGATGTCGCAGACTTCAATCCTCCTCCTCCTCCTCCTCCTTCTCCCCCTCCCGTCGTGGGGTCAAGCGGTGACATGCAATACAAGATACTATGTTGCTATCAACTATGTATATGCACAATGTAGAACCAGCAATCCTGGTGCTCTACCGCTCGGAATGGAAGACTCTCTTGTACAATACAACTTCGAAATCGCCGCCAATAGCTTACATCGAATTTCCATGGTTCGGTCGGACAGCGCTTCCTACGTCTCCTGCGCAAACTTGACATTGAACACGGAGAACTCTACTAGCCGGTCATCTGGACACATGCGCCCTATTGTGTCGGATTATGCTACAGCGCTCACAGCAGTACAAGCGGAGGACTCGGCAAGAGCGATCAGGTCGATGGGCGTCGGGTTATATGATGTATGTTTTCTCAAGGATGGAGTATGGTCAAACACAGGGATCAGTATCAATGTACAGAAAACCTTTCAATATTTGGAGGTTGGTGGGATAAGAACAGCTAATGGAACACGATCGGCCCTTCCGAAGAACGCCTTGCACCCTTTCAATCTGGATTACCTCCGATATGCTGAGATACCTCCGAGTGAAGGAGACGTCTTGGCGTTCGTCATGCCGAATATCTCCTGCCCGACAGATTTGACGAATGCTGGAAACAATTACACGGCTGTGAAGTTCACAGGGGGAAACTTTCAGAACCAGGGAAGTTTGATTACTATGGCTGCCGGCTTCTATCAGATCTGCTACAGGGATGCAGCGTCTGCCTTCATCAAGACGGGGACTTCTTTGTTCATTCAGCAGGACGTCGTTTCGGTCACTGTCAACAGCATCACTCCCAATGCTGGAACTAACCTGACGCTACCGAAGTCCCGGGGGAGTACCATGACTTTGTCGCGTGATGTTCCCTCCAAGGGGTTCCAACAGACTGTGAGGGCAATCAGTGGACTGGTCGCGCAGTACTCGTTCGAAGACACCATCCAATCGGAGCTTGCAGACACCAAGTGCGGGCAGAAGTGCGATTCATCCCTAGCGACGCAATACAGCGGGAAGCTGAAAGGGGACAACCTTGATTTTGCATACACAAAGACGAGCCCGATCGGCCTGGGGACACAGCAATACCTGCAGTTAGATGGAAGCACGCAGTATGGAGTAGTGGATTACAATATCTCTGCCAAAGAGCGAAAGATGTCAATCTCATTCTTCATGAAGCCGAACAACGACATCTGGCTAGAGCAGACGATCTGGTGCTCGAGCGATAAGGCCTTGAGAAGTTACAATCCAGGTCTGGTCTGCATCAGCTATCGACCAGAGCAGGGTCAAACGGACAATCTCCCTCGCTATTTACAGCTGGAGATCACGGCGACAGTGAACAACTTTACTCTTGGCGACGTGGCCAAGTTTTCATATCCCTTCTCGCAGTCAGTATGGTATCACATCGCCATTGTGATCGACATGTCAGATGCTGTCTCTGGATTAGCAAATCTGTATGTCGATGGTATGCAGGTCTCTCAACTTTTCTTCAAGCCCAACAGCAACTTGCTCTCGTCTCCTCTCTACATCGCGCCCGCCACCATAGGAGCCTTCTCTCCGTCTCCCAGCGAAATCTACAACTACTACGGGGGAGAGCTTGACGAAATAGCTCTCTTCGACACATTGCTGTCTGCCAACGTCGTCTATAACATTTTCTCCAAGACGAACGCCTTCGACTTCGTCGTCCCCATCTCAGGCTACTTCTCTTTCCTCCCCATCACCGCAGATTGTCGCGCCGCTGCCAGCCTCCCTTCGTCGCGCATCATGTCGTTCGCCGAAGGAAACGACGGGAGCGTCCTCGTCGCCAAGGACTATGACGCCACACTGTTCTCAAACCCGAGCATCGATCACGTGGTTGACTTGCCGGCTGGTTCTTATCAACTCTGCTTCTCCAAGGACCTGGGCAAGCCCTCGTACCCAGCAAGCACATGGCTGCCGACAGGAATCTTCGTTGTCATACAGCAAGACATCCTCGGGCTCGCGATCAACGGCGTCAAAAGCGTCAACGGCCTCCGTCCTGTAATCCCTCTCTCAGGGTCGTCGATCTTTGAGACCTTCGGGGCGGAGGCGAGGATAGTCGGAGAGAGTATCCTCTTTACCCAGCCGACCTCCCGATGCTCGGAGGAGACCAACGTCCAGGGCTGCTCGGCGGTACGGGCCGGGCCTCTGACCTCGGACATGCTCCCGGGAATCGTCAAGTGGGGGCAACTGTGCACATTGAACATGAGCACGGTATACCAGGTTTGCTACAAGGCGCCCGGGTCGCAGACGTTCACAACGACTGGCATCTCTGCTACTTTTCGAGAGACGCTCGTAGCTCTCGAGTCATACTCGACGGCGATGGGCGACGGTCTCAGGGTCACTATCCCGAAAAGGGATGACGTCAGCATGACTGTAGTCGTCTCCAGCAGCTTCCTTGCTGCGAACGGCCTCGTGTACGTTAGCGGCCAAGAGTTCTCTCTCCATCTCTCCTTCATCCCCAGTCACCTGCTCTGCCTCGACTCAAGGTGGAACTCCCTGAGCTTTCAGAACTCCAGTAGCCTCATCTCTACCGGCCAACTTGTCCTGCAGCGGAAGAACTCAACCAGCGGCGGAACAAGATTCTCCATCGTCGGCTCTGCTGGGAATCAGATTTCAAGGCTGCCGGCTGGCTCCTACCAGGCGTGTCTTGCTATACTCGGGTCGGACGGCCAGTCAGTTGCTTCCTTCTCTACCGGCGTCGGGCTGCACGTGCAGTCGTTTCTCTCGGGCGTGTCGGGAAATTACCTGCATGAGGAAGGGACTTACAAGATTTACTTCCCTCGAGTCAGCGGCAACTTGTTTGTTCTCGTCTCACAGTCCCTCAGTTTCAGGCTGAACGCCACGGGCGAGGACGGGCTCTTCCTTGCTCCCGACAGCTCTGACTGTGTTGCGGCCTCGTTCGAGCATGGCGGCAGACTGTCGTCCCCGATGATGAAGTTGGATGTCAACGGAAGCGTCAACACGATCGTCATCGCCGACGTCGCACCAGGTGCTTCAACGCTCGACTTGCGAGCTGAGAAATGTATTTGACATCTTCTTCCAGGAACCTACCAGGTCTGCCTGGCTTGGAGCCAGCGGCCACCTGCCGGGGGCTTGCTCTTTCCCAGCTGGACCTCGACAGGGTTGCTAGTAGTCGTCCAGCAGGAGTTCTTGGGTATTCAAGTCAACGGCCTGAGGCCGGCTAACGGCATCCGCGTCGCCTTGCCGAGTGTTCCTGGGAGCGTGCTGGAGTACGACGTCCAGAACGCGACGCTGGACAACTGGATCATGCTTGTCAACACCCCATCCCCAGACTGCTCGTCTGCCCCCAACACGTCGAGTCGGGTCTACATCGAGCAGTTCGATTTCCACGTGGCCAACCACTTCCAGAGCAACAGCTCCGACCTCGATCAGGCCATCTCGAAGCTCGCTGACGGCCTCTACCATGTCTGCTTCTCCTCAGACGGAGTTCAGGTCCAAGGAACGGGAGTGTCATTGAGGATCCAGTCGCTCCTGCAAGGCTTCACGGTCAACGGGTTGCTCATGTATCCTGGGAGAGACAGCAGGGGAGTAGTAGTCTCGCCTCAGCGGGACGGAACAACTGCCGTTGTCCTTCCACAGCCCCTCAAGATCTCCTCTATCTTCCTCTCCTCTCCTGACTACGACTGCGGCATGCATGCCGAGAGCGTCGGGAGCTTCAAGGGTTCAACCCTGCCCATCTCTTCCCTCGACGCGACCGTGGCAGACATCGCTGTGCTTGCCTCCTACCCCACTGGGATCTACCAGGTCTGCATCCTCTCCTCCTCCTCTGTGCTCCCCCTCTCCTCTGGCTTGTCCTGGAGGATTCAAGATCAAATCTTCGGCATGTGGGCAGGGAGTCAGGATCAGGGGGACGGTCTGCATGCGAGGGTCGATCGATGGCCGGGGAACACAATCTACGTGCGAGGGAACCTGCCCAACGGCTCACTCTCCTCCCCTTTCATCGGAAAGATTCTGTTTGCCCCCTCTTGCACTTCCCCTCCCTGTCTGCTGAAGACGCTCAACGTGGTGTACCAAGTCAACGGGACTTACAACGAGACCCTGGACGCTGAGACATGGAAGGCTCAGTTCGGGGACGGGGGAGCACAGATCGGGGGAGTGTACCAGGTCTGTTTCATCCCAGCAGGGAGCACCCAGGTCTACCGGTCGGGTGTGAGCGTGGAGGTGTTGGACCCAGTGGGGCAAGGGATCCATTCTTTCATCGTCAACCACATCCTCATGTGGAAACAGGTCGCAATTCCTTACAGCATCCCCTCGAACGAGGTCGTGTTCAAGCTCAGAAACCTTCTCTACAATTCCTCCATGAGCTTCGTCATCACTGCCGTCAACAACCCCTGCGAGCTCCCGGGCGGGGTCTGCGCCTGCGCGGCCAACCGGGCAGAGGAGATCCTGAGGCTGGGACGGCAGTGCATAACCGTCTCCGAGGTCTACGTGTGGTGCCTCCTGCCAACAACTCCTGTGACAGGAGACGAGCAGCTCGGCATGGTGAACTACACTATCCTCGACCAGGTCTTCGAGCCTGTTGTGGGGCCCCTCCGCTACGACCGGCAGTACTCTGTATGCTTCTCCAGCTCTGGTCCTGCTGGGCAGTACGAGGAGTTGAACCTGAACCTGGTGGCGCAAAGTTCTTGCGTCAAGTTTGACATCAACGGGGTGGTGAAGGAGACTTGGAGCAGCAACGTTGTGCCCAGAATACCCGGGCTGACCTTCAGGTACCTCAGGTACCCAGGCTCAACCTCTAGCATAACCCCAGCTGAGTCGATCTCCCTCATCTCCTCCACGGGAGACTGCGGGTCAGTGAGGGACAACCCTTCCGTGCAGACGTCCAGCTCAACGGGCTTCCTGTTCGCGCTCAACGCTCAGGGGTCGGTGGACCTGAGCAAGATCCTGATGAGCATGGGGTCATACTCGTACCAGGTCTGCTGGAGGGATGCGCAGGGGAAAGTCTCAGCTACTGGCCAACTGGTCATCATCGAGGTTCACGCGTACTTCAGTGTCCAGCCCAGCTCGTTCCCAGCTCACCTGACGGGTCAGGTTCTGCCAAACGTGCTGGTGAGCCTTGTGGACGGCAGGGGGAACGTGCTCAACAACTTCGACCAAACGCTCGTCGCCGCCTCCCTCCTCCGCTGCATGAGCCCTTGCGGGCAGCTGTCCGCTGATGACTCCAGCTGCTCTTCGAGCTGCTCTGAGTGGGTGAACGTCAGCTCTCTTCTCGCTGGACAGTCTGCCATGCTCGTTGGGGGAGTCGCTAAGTTCTCGAACTTGATGGTAAGGAAGAGCAGCGGGAGGTACGCGATACTCTTCCGCTGGCTGCGGGACAGCCTGACGGAGCAGCAATCCTACGACTTCATCGTGGTCCCCAAGGCGCTGAGGCTGAGCGACTGGGTGGGGGGCAAGGGGCTGACGGTAGGGGGGTGGGCGAGCGAGCATGCGAGGGAGTGCAGGGCTGGGCTGCTGGAGCAGGAGGACGTGAGGTGCAGGGGGGCAGCAGGCGTCCCAGCCCTCCGTGTGACCATGTTGGATGAGGACGGGGAGGAGTTGACGATGGTGAAGGAGAGTGACGGGTTCCGGGTGGAGCCCTCCCTCCTCTATGCTGCTGGGCCGAGCTCCTCGTTCGCTCAAGTCCAGCATGCAGGCGATGTGCTGCTGAGAGCGCAGCTGGAGGTGGGAGGGACCTTCGAGAACCAGACGGTCTCCGTGCTGGCAGATGCAGGAGAAGCTGCGTTCGAGAATGCTTCCTCTATCCTGGTAATGCGAGAGACAGAGAGATGGTCAGGCGGGGGGAAGCGAAGAGAGGGAGGGAAGGGGAGGGAGGACAGGGAGGGAGGGAAAAATCAACCAAGTTCAAGAGACTATGAGCTAGGAAATGACGGTACTGACCGCAGGTGAGACGGCAAGCTGGCATTTACTTCCAGCTCCAGTTCGGGATCAAGGGGACACAACTAACCCTTCCGGTTTGTGTGCTTGATCTTCCCTTCCTCCTCCTTCATGCCTTGCTGTTCCTCCTGCTTCTCCTGCTTCTCCTCCTCCTCGTCCTTCTGCTGCTGCGTCCTCCTCCCTTCCACTGCTCTTCTTCTCATCACCTCATCATTGTCCTCCTCCAGGTCAACACGGAAACATTCAGCATCCTTCCAGCAAGCGTCTCCATCTCCTCCTGGACTTCAGTCCCTTCCTCCTCCTACCGTCCTCCCTCCTACTACACTAGTGTCACTGCCACCCTCGACCCCACTGTCGAGCTGCCCAGGTTCACCCTCGTCCTTCTCGACGCATCTGGTGAGGTACACAGGCCATGACAGGCGAGGCTGAGAAAGAGATGGCAGGACGGGCGTTGGAACATGCGCGCTGCTCTGACTGCCTTGTTGGATGGCTCGAGGGGCCAGGAGGGAACCTGTGCGGGGACGCAGCGTTCCAACAGCGAGATCCGGTATGAAGGAAGAGAACAAGTAGACTTGCGGAAGAGAATACGATACAGCAGGAGCAAGCGAAGAAAGGAGGCGGTTTAGGAGTGAGGGGGAGAGGGACCAGGAGCAGGAACAAGCAGCAGGGAGCAGGGAGCGGGGAGTGGAGAGCAGGAGCAGGAGCAGGAGGAGGGAGGAAAGAAGGAATTAACTCGTGTCTGCAGACATGCACTGTGTATCCCTGGCGGACGGTGCCGAACAAGATCTGCACGAACGCACAGAACTACCCGAGCATCTCAGACTTCGAGAGTTGCAAGGCGGTGAGTAGCTCAGCTGGAGAAGGAGCTGGGGTTGTTTTGACAGCGTCGTGCCCCGACAGGCGTGCCTTGCCAACCCGAGCTGTGTCGCCATCTCCTACTACCAGCCCACCAACCAAGTGGTGGGCTGCCGCTGTGCTCGAGAACTCTAGAGCTCGTGGTGACTCTTGGGTGTTTCGTTGAGCAGGTCTTCACCTACTGCAACTTGGCTATCAGCACTTGCACTGAGGCGACGAGCAACCTCGGGTGAGAAGAAAAAGTCAAAACTTCCGCGTGGAGGGTGACTTGGCGGGGGCAGGGGAACGGTCTACTACAAGGTGCCGTCGTACGTCAAGCCCGAGTGTGCCTGCCCGAGCGAGAACTTTGACAACCGAACGTTCTACCGCACCTTGAAGAGCTCGACGGTGACCCCTCTGCTGCTCTACCCCAGCTGGACAAGCACCTTTCAAGCTCTTGGCAGCACTCGCTGACGACGTTGCTTCCAGGTCGCAGCTGGGACTCAGTTCGTGCCATCCTTCCAAGTCTACGACGGGATGACGACGGTGAGAGGACGAGCAAGAATCGCCGCTGCCGCTGAGCTCTCCTCCTCCCTCCTGCAGGTTGAAGGCCTACTAGCGCGCTTCGTCCAGCTGTCCTCCATCAGGATGAATTTCAAGTTCGTGGGGTACCCCCTCTCCGTCGCTTCCAACCTCATCTTCCTCACCTCCACTCCTGCTGTGCCGGCATGGGAGTCAATCTTTGAGGTAGAGCGTCTCCCCCCTCCCATTTCTGCTGCTTCGTCTCCTCTCCCCCTCTCCTCCTCCTCCTCCTCCCCCCTCCCTCCCCTTTCCCTACCTCTCGAACAACTTTGTCCTCCTTCAACCTACCTTGCCCTTCCTCTCTCAATCGCCCTTTGCCTTCCCCTCTCCGTTGTTCTTCTTTCCCTTCCCAGAAACTTTCATCAACAAATCCGTTCCCTCCTTCCTCTAATTTGTTGTCTTGTGACGGGGTGACAGTGGGGAAGAAAAGGTTCGTGCTCCTGTGTGCTCAGAAACGGAATATCCCCATTTCCTGGAGCCAACAACTCGGTAAATCCTCCTCCCATCCTCCCATCCTCCCATCCTCCCTTCTCCCTCCTTTCCTCTTGCCCCTTCCTTCTCCCTGCTCCCTTTGTCCAGTCCCTCAACTCCGTGCTCCTCGCTCATCCGCCCGCTTCGATCTCTTTTCCTTCCTCCCTCTCCCTCTCCCTCTCCCTCTCCCTCTCCCTCTCCCCATCCCCATCTGCTCCCTCTGCCATTCCCCCCCCCCCCCCCCCAGTGTGCGTGCTGGGCCAACTGTTTCCTCCTCTACCTCTGATTCTCCCCAACCCTCTGCCACCCACCCCCCCGCCATTCTATCTGGTTATGAAGATCGCCCCATGTTATAACCTTAGGTTCCTACTTGGCCCGCGTCCGATAGAGGGAGCTTGGAAAATACTTTTTGGTGTCTGCCATGTAGGTGAAAATTCTTCGGGAACCTGGGGGGATTACTTGGCAGAGGGTCAGGTGGAGGTACAAGGCAAGTACTCGC